TTTCTCCACATTTTCAAGTTTATATACATAGAAGCTTTTATAATATTCATAGATGATATTTTGTATTTCCGTGGTATCAGTTGTTATTTCTCCTTTTTCATTTTTTTTTTTTTTAACAATGACTCTTTATAAACTTGTATGGGGTCTAAATTATCCCCTGTAATATGTGTGTGTGTACTCATTCCCAGAGAATTAGGTGATGTACTTTTGAGTAACCTGCTGGGACTGTCTCCAGAGCTTCTGAATGGCCTCCTCCAGCTTATTCCATCAGAACTCTCAGCACCGTGGCGAGACCAGCTCTCTCAGATTCCCCACATCCACGACCTATATCATGTCCAATAAATCGTCCACATCACCACCTTCTTCAAATACGGCTGCTGCATTTTCATTTGGTTTTTCTTTGGAAGCCAGAAACTTTTTGGCCTCCTCAGCTGTGACAGAGCTTCTAGGGGCTTCATCTTTGGTGATGAGAGTAATTCCATCCTGAATGACAATTTCCCAGAAATGATTTAATTGTTTAATTTCTACTTTCTCCTGAAGGGCTTTCAGGAAGCTGTTGAAGCGCTGTTCTTCTGAAAACTGAATGGCTTCTTCATGGAAGGCTTTGATGCAGTCCATGCTCTTCATAAAATATGGTATTTCATTAGTATCCAAAAACTGTTCAATGCGATTTATGAGCTGGTGACTCACTTCCTCAAAGCTGGCATTCTTCTGTCTCACTAAAACACGGAAGTTTTCAGCAGGATTTACGCTTCCAACACTGGTGACGCTGCCTTCTGCCAGGCTGGAGACACTAAAACGGGTTTCTCCTTCCTCAGTCTTGCATTTTTTAGCAGCGGGTCCATCTTCATGATTGTCTTGGAAAATATCCTGAGCAGTTATTTATCCTTTTTCTTGATGGCTTCAGTCAGAGGGAAAAGGGTCTTTATTTTAGAGAGAGGGATCTGACATTTTGCTGTCACCTCGGTGGGGGGATCCAGCATATTCAAAATGTGCTGCTGAACTGGGGGCAGAGGCTCCTGCGGATGTAAAGCTCTGTGCAGCAGACACTGAAATAATCTCTGAAATTGAGGATTTGGGATTTTGGTGGTTGGAAACAAGTCTTCAATGGTGTCTTTCTCCTCATCTTTCTCTACCAAGCTCATGGAGTCAATCAAAGCATCAACAGCACTCAATTGTGCCTCCGTAGGAGTGTATTTCTTATTATTTTTCAAGGATGAAAACATGTATTGCCGCAAGTCTTCCATGAAAGGCAGCTGCACATACATTAAACACTCATAGGCCTCCTTGATATAAGGAAAAGCCACGCCAACTTGAGGATTCGCTCTTTTGTCATAAGCATATCGAACGATGGCCACCATGTCTAATTCATCCAAGGCGTGAATCAGCGAGGAAAGTGCAACTGCTGCTGCCTCATCATTTTTTGCTGCAAAGACCTTTAGAACTTGATTTCCCATAAAGAATTTTCTCTGGACCTGAAAAGATCTGCAAAATCCCAAAACAGAGAAGCACTTCCCCTCCGATTTATATTTCATTTGTTCCTCATCCACTTTAGAGAAAGGAACTATATCACTTCCATAGCGGAACCCTTGAATAGTATCCTCTTTAGGAACTTCAGTTTCATCATCATCATTTAAGCAATAAACTGTTTCTTTTTGTATATCTTCTTTTTTTAAGGTTCTTGCATCCACAACTGTCCAAGTCTTTTTAACTTTCTCCTGTAGCATCGATTTATAGGCCACTATCCTTATAGACAAATTGGGTCCTATGGTCAGCTGGCAAGGCCAAGGCACGGAATACCTCGCAATTTTCTTGAAGACACATAGCTGCCTCAGACTTTCACTGAAGGAATAAATTTCATCCAGCCCATCTTCACCTTCTAAAGACATCATCACCTTTTTCACCATCTAAATACCTTCTTTTTGCTGCTCAATAATTCCTTTTTGAGGCAAGGAGGGTCCATGGTGGTCCAAGGGCAAGTTACCTTCTCCTCTGTCCCCAGTTCCATCTTCCTTGGCAATTGGGAAAGGCAAGAAGAATTACAGAGAGATGCCAGATTTCCTCAAGTTATGAATTATGATATCCAGCTGATCTTTGCTGAATGGGCTGCTGAGGTCAGTGAACACTTCAATATGCCTCTTCTCAAATTTCTTTCCTACAGTTTCACGTTGAATCACATCCATGCACACAATCAGTGCATCCAGGAAATCAGCTTGTTGAGAACCTGGTTGGATTTTGCTTTCAATGTCCTCCAGCAAATCAAAATCTGGCAGCATCAGGTGTCTGTGCACTGTGATGTTCTAATACTGATCCCCAGCAGCAAGGGCATTCTTAGTGCCATCTGTACCAAACAGGACTAACGCAATCTCATCTTTGCTCTCAGCAAACACCTGTCGCTGGACAAACATGGTCACTATCTTCTTCGCTTGTTCAAATGGGGATTCTTCATCGGGAAAGGAGTTCCTCATGGCAAAGCCCACATCCATACATAGCACAATAGCTGCCTTATTCCCCGACCACGCCATGCTGCTGGTCCGCAGGAGCCTTGGTTGCCTCTTCCCTCCTTTTTCATTCTTGATTGAGCTTATTAGAGTCCTTTCTTTTCTGCTTGTCTTTAATCTAGCAAGAGGCACCTCAATGTTTATTTTTTCAAAGAACCAACTTTTTGTTTTATTAATCTTC